GAATTATCATCTGTCTATTAAAATATCTTTCAATATTGAAAGTTTCCATCAGTCAAATTGTTTTTCTTTGCAGGAAAAGTTCTGGTTATTTCCATGATGGGCTCCAGTCGCTCCGCCGTCCTGGTGGCGTCCTACCTGATGATATTCCACCACATGACCATCATGGAGGCCCTGACGTCCTTGAGGAAGAAACGTCCCATCAACCCCAACGAAGGCTTCCTGAAGCAGCTGCGAGAATTCAACGAGAACCTGATGGAGGAGCGCGATGACGACGACGAGACGCTCAGCCAATGCTCCGTGATCGACGCTCGCACGCGCACTCGCATCTTCAACGAAGGCGCGGATGATGATGACGACGATACGGATAACGAGGACGAGCAGAGTATGATCCAGGTGAAAGCTAACTCCATCATGATGGAGGAGGAGGAGGATGGAGAGAGTGTGATGAGCAGCGTCGCCTCGTCAGCCGCCGCCGCCGCGCTCAGGAGTGGACTGATCGGGGCACAGAATGGTGTGGACAACCAGGGATCTACCTCCGGGGAGATTGTTCTACCCGAGCAGGGCGCCGATGAAGACGAGGACGAAGATGGCCTCGACGGTATGATCCGCGAGTGGCAGCGGAGAAATGAGAAGTATCAAAGTGAAGATTGGTGGGAGGCGCAGCTGAACAGTGAAGGCGAAGATGTAGAATCTCTTTCAGGAGGTCCGCCGAAGAGGACGAAGGAAGGTGCAGACGCCGATGTGGACAGCGTCACCAGTGAGGACGTACGAGCTGTGAAAGAACGGCTGAAGCGTCGCAACAGACGCCCGCCTTCTGATGCGATGTCCACCTCCAGCAGCACGAGTTACTCCGATCTCTGGAAACAGCGTCTGAGAGAAATTGAAGATCAAGCCGCCGCTCGTTACCACAAGAAAGAGGACGACGAAGGCAGCGAGAGCACCGCCACGGAGGGAGGAGAAGGAGGGAGGACGAAGATTGATGACGAGGTGCAGAGTATCCTCTCCGACAACACCTCCATGTACAACTTCTGCCAGAAGAACAAGGAGAAGCTGACGCCTCTGGAGCGTTGGAGGATCAAGAGGATCCAGTTCGGCTGGAACAAGAAAGATCACGAGGATGGAGAGAAGAGTTCTGTCGGAGACGGAGAAAACAGCGAGGGAGAGGCGAAGACCCCGTCTTTCCAAGACGTCAACCTGACGGCGTATCAGTCGTGGAAGCTGAGGCAGCAGAAGCGTTTTGGCGAGGAGAACACTGCTGAGATTCTGGAGATGAGTCGAGGTGAGGACTCTGCCACGATCAAACGGAGACAAAGACGGGAGGAAATCCTGGAGCGTTCGAAGAAGACGTTAGAAGAGAGTCAGTCTCTGTGTGGCTGGGAGACAGAGAGCTGCATCAGCGGAGGTACGATACCTCTGTCTGCCTTCTGGGCTGGAGCCGGGGTCACAGGCCCGCCGAGTGTCGTCAACGACGACAACATGTCCATGCTAAGCGGCAGGTCTTCAGCAATATCCTCGGTTTCACAAGCTCGCAGCTCAAGGTCGGCGCAGTCCGCAGGTCCTCTTCATCCACCTGTTCCTCCCATCCTGCCTGTTCCCACGGTGCAGGGCCCGGGAGGTGAACCTATGGTCAACCTGGCGAGCATCCAGAACTGGATCGCCAACGTCGTGTCTGAAACGATCCAACAGAAGCAGACCGAGATGAGCCTGCCGCCTCCATCACGTGCAGGATCGGAGTTTGGCTTCGGACGAGGTGCAGCGAGTGTGATCTCCGGCCGGGGACTCGATGATGACAAGGCGTCCTTGTTGAGCGGCGCGTCCTACTCCAGCGCTCTGTCCCAGGGTCGTGGCAAGGCAGCCTCGTCGGTGCTCTCAGGTGGAGGGTCGAGCAGCATCTCAGGACTCAGCGGCAGAGGTTCGGCGTTGGGCTCAACCATCGGCTCCACCCTGGGCTCAAAGAAAAACAAGATCACTACCACCAGCGTTCCACTGTTCAGCCTCTTCCAGGACCAGGTCAACCTGGGAAAACTGGACGCCATCGACAAGGAGATCAAGTCTGAGATGAGGGGCAAGATGGCGACCTACGAGAAGAAGAAGATCCTGGAGGACAACAGGCGCAGTACTTTGTACAAGAAGAAGAAACCAAAGGAGGATGAAGATGAGGAGGAGGAGAGTAAGAGGAGAGAGGAGGAGTTCCTCGAGGAGGCAAAGAAACCAGAGAAACCTACGAGGACGTACGGTCTGTCTGGATGCCTGAATCTCAACACAGCTCTGGAGAAAGAAAAGAACACCAGCATCGACGATTGGCTGAAAAGCGTCCGGCCTCCTCCTGGGAAAACGGCGTCCGGAGCAGAAGCTGGTCCGTCAGAGGATCCCTGCGATGATCTGGACGCCTCCGCTTCTGAATTTGACTTCTCGAGCCGCAGGGCGTCCTACGCTGTTGACGAGGAAGACGAGGAAACATACAGCTCCAGATACAGGTCGAGGTTACGCGGCGATCCGTCGAGCGAAGTCGCAGAATACTCCTCCAACCGTTACAGCCACAGACGGGCGGAGAAGTCGTACGGGGCCTACAGCGAGAGCGACGAGGGGACGGAGAGCTACGCTGACCTCTCCGCCAAAAGAAAATTCGTGCACCGGTCTCAATTTGAAAGCAGCGAGACAGAAGCGAGGAGCAGCAGAAGAGGGCAAGCCAACGACAATGATGGTGAGGAGGAGGATGACATCGCCACCTTCATCGCACAAACCAGGCAGAGGGTCCGAGCTCGAGCTGCGGCGGAGGCTGAGGACGACGAGGTTCTCGTCGCTTGGAGAGCGCAGCAAGAAGCGAAGTCACAAAGTCGGAGGGATTCGTAAAATACAACTGACGAAGGGAGGTTGTAGGAATTTAGAGCTAGGTGCTAACTAAGCTAATTCAAAGCACAGACTGTAAATGAAAATGGACGACGTGACAGAAGCTTGATGACGCTCCAGGATCACTGCTGCCCAGACAAGATGGCGGTGCCCGTATCTGGGATATTTTCGCTTCACGGAGGAGGAGGAGACATGTCGTCCATCTTTGTTTTCAGTGGATAGTTAAAAAAACAGCTTTAATTGACTCTAATGGTTTTAAAAGTGTGAAAATATCTGAAAACTCACTTTAAGAAAGAGTTTAGGTGGATGAAGAACTTGAAACTTCAAGATATCAAAATTAATTCACATCTGTAACGAATATTAGCACCTTTACCTTTTGATCGTGCATCAAAATGCTGTTTAATGTAATTTCCAGAGCCTGTATTATTATATTATATTATTTTAATACTTGAAATGCATATGAGGTTTTTGGTAAACGATCATAAAACTGATCGAGATGACGAGAAACTCCTGAACATAGAAAATCCTGTTTGTACCGTGAGATTATTTTGTTATTGCAATAAATATTCATGTTTTCCTGGAGTTGTTGATTTTTCTCTTTGACCCTTTAAATAAATCCCATTTCAACAGTTCTGTGAACGAGTGAATGCTTGTTCAAGAGAAAAAGACTTGAGACTTTCTATGAATTATGTGACTTTATCTTTGTGAAGCACTTGAAGTAATTCTCCGCTGACGAGGACACAGAGTCTGTTTTGTATTTGAGGGATTCGACAGATCTGAGGTTGACACTCGTGTTTTTCTTGGACTGTTGTTGCATGAAGAGCGTTTCCTGGAAACACTGGCTCCTCATTGGCTCTGGTCTGAGGACACTTTATATCTGGACAGATGTTTGTTTACAGAGACAGTTGCTGTATTCTCCATGTTGTAGCTCCTCCCAGTGGACGGAGAGAGAATTGCTGTTCATATCTTCTGATCTGAAAATGTAAAGTTGACTTCTCTTTAACCATGAATCACTTGATAACCCCCCCCCCCCCTCCAGGTGTTAGATGTACACATGCTTGTGTATGGAGGGTAAATGCTGACACGTGTGAGAGTGCGGCCGTTATTCCAGCTTATTGTGAAGCTGAACATTCCTCAGGGATAAACGCTGTGGGAATGTTGATCTTCACATTGAAACACAGAGGAAACGCTCGGCCATTCGAACTGTGATCACAAATATTAATACAAAAGATTCATACATGTGTAATTCTACACTTTAGACCCCATACGACTCGAAATACATCAAATATATTCTTCCAATTAAAACTTATATAATTAGACTTATTTCAGTTTTGGTGAATCTTAATTTAGGTTGAATGGTAATTTTATAATTGTGTTTACTGGAGTTTCTATTTTGAAAACTATCTCAGTGTACTTGAATATATATTTTTAAAGATTCTTTCAGTGTGAAGAATCTAGATCTTTTCATTTGACGTTCACACAGTGTGTTTTCTTTCCAGTGAAGTGAAGGAGAAAATTAAAGATTAAAGTCTTATACAAACGGACATGAGGCTGAAAACGTGGCCTCCGGGTCACCTGACTGAGAAGTGACGCGTGCTGCTCGTTTCTGCCGATCAGCTTTAACGAAATCCTTCCCCGAGCGAGCGTGAAGGTTTTTCACTGCACAGACAAGTGGTTGGACATTTTCAACCGAGCGAGAGGCTGAAGAAGAGAAGAAGAAAAGGTTCTGGCTCAGGATGGCGAGCTGGTGGACGTCTGCTGATGTTCAGGACCTGGAGGACAACTCCATCGTTTCTCGGATGATTCAGGCCGTCGGGCTGTTTGGAGATATTCTGTCTTTAGAGGACACGATGGAGCCCATGTTGTCTGCGGTCCAACGAGGGGACGCAGTCAGGAGGAGGCCCGACGATGATGAGGATGACGGTGACAGGGCTGCAGCATCGCACGAGGAAGAGGTGATAGAGAGTGTCCAAGAAGAAACGATGAAGGATGATGAAGATGAGAGCAAGGAAGAAACGGAGGATGAGGATTTGCAAAGAGGAGGAAAAGTGGAAGAAGAGGGAGGAGATGAAAGACACACACAGGAGGAGGAAGAAACGACAGAAAAGAAGGAAAATGTGGAGGAGGTGAAGACTAAAGAGGAGGAGGAGTTGGTGGATGAAGAAGAAAAAGATGAGGGATGTGTAGAGGAAGAAAGAGAGGATGAAAAAGAGAAGGAAGAGCAGTGTGAGAAAGAGAACGAGCACGAGGGGAAAGGAGACCGTGAGGATGAGGTGGAGGAAGAACTGAAGGAGGAAGAACTGAAGGAGGAAGAACTAAAGGAGGAAGAACTGAAGGAGGAAGAACTGGAGGAGGAAGAACTGAAGGAGG